GCAGGGGGACTGGACTAGATGATCTTCTGAGCTTCCTTCCAACCCCTGGCAGGCTGTGATTCTGTGATTTTTGAGGGGGAAGAAGTGAAAGAAAGAGGAGTAGATTGGGAACTCACAAACTCAGAATGCAAACTACAGTAAAAGCTTTACTATCTGTTAGAATTTCACCATCATCAGGAACAAAATATCAGTGAGCTCTTAATATTGTTTTCAGATCTACTCATTACAAGAAGCAAAAGTCCTTGGACTTCACAGTAAGACGCTGCCATCTAGAATAACATGTAATCTTGTAATGAGTAACTAACCTGTTGATCCCAGCTGCATTAACCAAGTAGTTAATAGGTCCTAAATTCCTCTGCATCTCCTCAAATGTATGTTGGACTTCTTGTTCACTGGATACATCACAGCTAAGTGCCACATGTCCTGCTATATTGAAATAAAGGCACCTCATAATAATAGTAAAAGATGGTATACCTTTCATAAACCTTCAGAATTTATCAAGCCAATTGCAAAAACAGATGTTGAACTAGTTAAAATCTGAGGAATACATTTCATTTCCAGGAAAGTAAATAAGGAGAATTTTTAAGTATTATATTGATTAGTTACGTGACAATTTCTTGTTTTCAAATTTCTCAGTCTTTATTTTAATCTTCATTTAGTTAAACAATAAGGTATACTTAATGACTTGCCACTTTTACAAGGTACCTAAGTATTGGATGATGAAGAAATAAGCAAAGCAGCATACGTACCACCAAGATTACGTGCAGTGGTTTGGGCTACTTCCAGATTTCTAGCAATAATCGCCAGGCGGCAGCCTTTCTGTGCCAGTAATTCTGCAACAGATTTTCCTATTCCTCGGGATCCTCCGAATATAGCACAAACCTTGCCCATCTTCAAAAATAATTCACAAATTGCAAATAAATCATGAATTTCACGTCAAGTATAGCAAAATAACCACTGTTCTTGTCAACATCATGGCCCCTTACTAGTTTGTAGCATTTTGTAATATTGGATTATAGAATTAATGATTTGTTAACTTTTATTCACCAGAAAATAAATACTTGCACTAAATTAGATGCCACTTCTACAAAGGCATGTTAATCCTTGATGATTTCCAAATTGGCAAAAAATTATCCATGTAGTCTAGCGTTTCAATACTTGTGCAGTTGATGAAATGTGTGATTTATATATTTCTAAAGGCCATAATGTATTATTCACCTGTTTGAGAGTCAGTATAGTAGTTGCAACTCTACTGTTCTCGCAAGCACACTTCTTGTACTAAACTCACTTAGCCTCAAGGTCTCACTCCACCCAATGTATCTGTACTAAGTATGATCTGATATTATTGACTTTACAATAGTTTAATGCTAAGTTACCTTACATAATACCATGTTTTACATTAGCCTTAGGTTCTACTGTTTCTGCTTTTGGAGAAAAAAAATCTTTCTGAGCTGTGAAATTATTCTTAAGTATCTACCTTCAGTGTTTAGGAAGGAACATAACAAGAAAGTACTTCTGTAGAATGATCTTTTATTCTGCAATTTTTAGAAACCGATCAGCAGTTCTGGGATTTTCTGAGGAGCCAGAGGCAAAACCCAAGCAATACGAATGAACTTCTTTTTCATACATTTAAATAATTCATTTTTGAACCCAATTATATTTTGTCTCTATAACATCCTTAGGCAACAAATTTCATTATTTGTAGAAAATGACTTCCTTTTGTTCTTAATTTGCTTTCTGAATACATATTATGCATTTCTGCTCATATCTTCCCCCTACTGTTCACAACTTCAGAGGCTACTTTTCTGTATTTTACCCTCTGCGCTACATTCAATTTCATGTCTATTTAGTCACTCTTACACATGCAGAAGTCATTCTGTATCTCACTAGCGACCGTCCAAACTCTTAATCCTGGCACTCTATCCTAGTTCCTCCTTCATATTTTGTTCTTACCAGCACTGAGTATTAATTTTATTTAACATAGAATAACACAGATTAGGAGGGATCTCTAGAAGTTGTCTTGTCTAACTTCTTCACCCCTAAGCACTATCAAGAGACTTCCACTGTTTATATAAATACTGTCAGACCTATATGTACTTTTCAAGAATTTCTTAACATGCTTAGCTACACAGGACCCAAAAGGCTGCCTGTGAGGTCAGAATTTATCTAAAATGTGTCATTCTACCCTTCCTGGGCTCTGTGAGGAGAGAATAAAAATCTCAGTGACTCTACTCAGGAGGAACGGTGAAGCCCCTTGTGCGCTGACCGGCTGTTTACACGAGAAGCAGAGGGCATATTCCAACGGACGATTTGTGTTTAACACAAAAGAGCCACACAGATTCTCTGGAATTGTTACTTGGGAGAAAAAAAGCTGCAGTAGAAGAAATTACCCAATATTCTCTGGTTAAATAAAGGTAGGGATAAAAAAAGTACCTTTTGCACAACAGACTCTCTTCTAGGTCGCCACACAGCACACACAAGCGCCTGTACGACCTTCGCACTCTACGGCCCGCTCTTCTTTCAGAACGCGCTATTTAACCCCTGACCACCAGGGCTCCACAGCTAACCACCTCA